ACATTTGCCGGAGGAATTACACCACAGCAGGGCAAAGCACAGCCCCCAGACAGAACCCCCAAGGAAACGACCAAAACAGACCGAAAACTGAGGGACAAGGTGTGGGAGCAAGCATAAACAGACAGGGACACTGAGCCCAAACCCTAGGGCTCAGACACAAAACAGACAGAAAATGGAAAAACCGGTATAAAAACCAACACCCAAGCATTCCCAGAGGAACAGAAGACAGGCAGAAAACACTAGGAAACAAAGAACCCCTGAAAGAGGTGAAAAACTCACTCAAGACGCTAGCTCGCACACCCAGGCGCATATAAACAAACCGCAACACCACCCTGGTGGCCACACTTGGAAACCGGCAGAAGAAAATGGCCACCAGAACAGGGGGCTGTGACCGATGCAACAGATACGAAAACACGCCAGAAGATGTGGAAAGCAAGCAGACTAGATGGACGAAATCTCCCCCCAGAACCAGAAAACTCATGCAGGGGCAAACAGCCCCAAACTGCTTGCAGGCATCCCCCACAGCACCGGGAACCCACAACAGAGGCCCCGGGGCAGAGCTGTCCTCCACACCCTCTGCCCTTAAAGAAATGGAAGAGTCCATGGAAAAGGCAGCAAGAAAGGGCCGCTGGTAAGACCCAGAAGCCTTGGCAGGAGGAACAGACTCGAAAACCTCCATCCCCAACCCGAACAGGGCACCCACCGAAACCGCCCGAGTCTCGGCCCCAACTAAACCCCGCCCTGTCCCCGAAACCCACAGACGGTCCAGAGCCGGGAACAGAGGGAAAAAGGCGAACAGCACTTAACCAAAATGGGGTGGCCCCAGGGCATCCGAGTGGGAAACAAACCTAGCGTATTGCAGCAGCCTAAACCAATCTTGCAACGCGGATGTCACCTGTACTCTGAACAGTAATAACATCAGGAGAGTACTAGAGAACAAGCAGAGAACAACTCGCAAGACTCCGGGTCAAGGTGTCAGTGACCCAACAGGCAGCATGACGGAGGTAAAAGTGGCGACTGTCACCCAGAGACAAGGGCACAGCAACCAACAAACCCGCACAAGATGGATTGGAACCTGGAAGACACATTCAATGGTCCACCGAGCCCTGACAGGGTTTTCCAGGGCCCGTAGGGTAAGAACTACGGGAAGCCCGGGCAAGGTGTCGCTAACTGGTTAACACCCAAAACTAACAAGGGGTAGAGGACAACAATGAAAACCCCTGTGATGTGTACAATCATGGGGGCCTAGCAGAGGGCCACCAAACAATACCAGTGGAACTATAGCCACACTAGGCAGACTTCAATCAGGCAAATGAAAATAAAACAAAAAGAAAAAACCAGCAAAAGTACACCGTCCCCAAAAGCAACAGAAACCATTCGCCGCGTAGGTGGCAGGTTGTGCAACACTTTGAAGCTCCAGCCAGCACAAGGCTGGCTGTCCCTACCCTACCCCAGCCAGTCCCTACCCAAGGCCAAACAAGGGGCCCAAAGCCCCAGCTGGCCCCAAGGGCGAGGCAAATGCCGAGCAGCAAGAGCCCCTACGGGAATGGGTCTCGAACGCCCCAGGGAAGATAACCCTGACACGCAGGAGCAATACTCACAGGGAGCTTAGGGAAGGAAGCTCTAAGCGCATGCAGCCCCGGTACTGATGAGGAACACCTGGCTACCACACAACACAAAAACACAGCAGTGAGTGTCACTGAGGCAAACACCGCCTAGGAAACTGGGGCCACCTGGTTGATACCTGGTTGATGGGGTTCTGGGAGTTCTTCTACTCCCCAAGCCCGGCCCGAGGCCAGGCTTGACTTGTGAGAGTTTGGTCCACTAGGCTGTTGCTTGGAGCGGCCCGCAGGGCCACATACCCACCACAGCCCGGTTGGTCTGGCACTCCTTGGAGGAATAAATCTAGTTTCCTCTTGAAAATGTCCACGGTTGTTCCGGCAATATTTCTTATGCTCGCTGGGAGGGTGTTGAACAACCGCGGACCTCTGATGTTTATACAGTGTTCTCTGATTGTGCCTATGGCACCCCTGCCTGCTCTTCACTGGTTCTATTCTGCATTTTCTTCCATATCGTTCACTCCAGTACGTTGTTATTTTACTGTGTAGATTTGGTACTTGGCCCTCCAGTATCTTCCAGGTGTATATTATTTGATATCTCTCTCGTCTTCTTTCTAGTGAGTACATTTGGAGGGCTTTGAGACAATCCCAATAATTTAGGTGCTTTATCGCGTCTATGCATGCCGTATATGTTCTCTGTATTCCCTCTATTTCAGCAATCTCTCCTGTCTGAAGGGGGAAGTGAGTACTGAGCAGTACTCAAGACGGGGACAACAAAAGTGACTTGAAGAGTACAACCATTGTGATGGGATCCCTGGATTTGAAAGTTCTCGTAATCCATCCTATCATTTTTCTGGCTGTCGCAATATTTGCTTGGTTATGCTCCTTAAACGTTAGGTCGTCGGACATTATTATTTCCAAATCCTTTACATGCTGTTTTCCTACTATGGGTACATTTGATTGTGTTTTGTACTCTGTATTATGTTTAAGGTCCTCATTTTTCCCGTACCTGAGTACCTGGAATTTATCACTGTTAAACATCATGTTATTTTCTGATGCCCAGTCAAAAACTTTATTAATATCAGCTTGAAGTTTTTCAATGTCTTCAGCCGAGATAATTTTCATACTGATTTTTGTGTCATCTGCAAAGGATGATACGAAGCTGTGACTTGTATTTTTGTCTACATCTGATATGAGAATAAGGAAAAGCAGCGGTGCAAGGACTGTACCCTGAGGTACAGAGCTTTTAACTGCACTTGGACTAGATTTTATATGGTTGACCGTTACTCGCCAAGTCCTGTTTGACAGAAAACTGAGTATCCAGCGTCCTACTTTACCGGTTATTCCCATTGACTTCATTTTGTGTGCTATCACGCCATGGTCACATTTATCGGAAGCCTTTGCGAAGTCCGTGTATATCACATCAGCATTCTGTTTTTCTTCTAATGCCTCAGTGACTTTGTCGTGGTGCTCAAGTAGCTGTGAGAGGCATGATCTTCCCGGTCGAAATCCATGTTGGCCTGGGTTGTGAAGGACATTGGTCTCCATGAAATTGGTGACCTGACTCATCATGACCTGAATCACTCTCTCAAATACTTTTATGATGTGTAATGTTAGTGCAACTGGTCTATAATTCTTTGCCAATGCTTTGCTCCCTCCCTTGTGTAGAGGGGCTATGTCTGCTACTTTAAGTGCATCTGGTATCTCTCCCATGTCCAAGCTCTTCCTCCACACTATACTGAGTGCCTGTGCTACCGGCACTTTGCATTTCTTTATAAATATTGAATTCCATGAGTCTGGACCTGGGGCCGAGTGCATGGGCAAGTTTTCAATTTCTCTTTCAAAATTTAGTGCGCTCGTGTTGATATCAGTTATATTTACAGGGGTTTGAATATCCCGCATAAAGAAATTGTCTGGATCTTCCACTTTTATGTTGTTTATTGGAGTGTTAAACATGTCCTCGTACTGCTTTTTTAGGATTTCACTAATTTCTTTGTCATCCTCCGTGTATGAACCTTCACTTGTACGAATAGGTCCAATACTGGCAGTGGTTTTTGCTTTTGATTTCGCATATGTGAAGAAATATTTTGGATTTTTCTTTATTTCCTGAATTGCTTTCTGTTCTAACTGCCTTTCTTCAGTTTCATAGGAGTGTTTCAATTTCCGCTCGATTTCTTCAATCTCCCTATTTAAATTATTCCTTCTTTGACGGGAAATTCGTGTCTGCATAAGCAGTTCCGTTATTTTTTTCCTGTGTTTATAGTGTCGTCTGCATTCTCTTTCTACGTTGGATCTCTTTCTGGCTTTCCTCAAAGGAACATGTTTCAGACAGACTTAATACGCTTCCGAAGTCAGTTTTTCTATTCCTTCTGTAGGACTTGTATTACTTAAAACAGTTTCCCATGGAATGTTTGTAAGTTCCCTGTTTATTATCTCCCAGTCTATCCTTTTATTATTAAAATTGAATTTACTGAATAGCCCCTCTAGCTTTATCAACGTTTTAGGGCCAGAAGGGTTTGTTTTTGTTATACCTACCTTTTTGGGTGCCTAACCCAGGTCGATGGCAGATAAGGAAAAACCCCAACGACAGGGAAGTTTTCCAGGGCCATTGCTCCGTGAAATCTCTGAAGGGGCCAGGTTCTGGAACATGGTTCCCTGGTAGGTCTAAACTCCATTGCTTATGTCCCGGTCTAATATAAAATACATTAGCTCGATAAGCTCCAGGGAGCCGTAGGGGCTCCCCTCAGAAAAACAGCGTTGAATGTATTGAAACGCCATTTTCTGAGCAAGACCCGGAGGCTCCCCCGGCATCCCTCCCTCCCTCAGGTCAGCATTTTTTCGCGTTTTTGATACTCAGCCTCTGAACTGGGGAGAGTTGCCGGCGCGGAGGTCTGGGATCCCTCTGTCCACTTCACGGGGAATGGGGGTTGCGCAGATGATGCGCGGCGTTTGTTGTGACGTCATACTGGTTTCCTTTGTTTTGATTGGGGAGTTCTGTTGCTAGTTCGACTTTCGGTTTGCAATTAATTAATCAGCAGTAGTTTGTTTTGGAATTCCAACCTTTTTGGGTACCTGACCTGGTAGATGGCAGACAAAGACTGCTTCCAATTACACGGTGGTGTCTTCAGGCCATTGCTCCTCGTGCCTCTCTTGGGAAGGGGGGGGGGGGGCCAGGTTCTGGCTCTGGTCCCTGGTAGGCCTAGAACTCCTTTGATTGACTGTTGCCACCGTCTAATATATATACACATAGCTCCGGGTAGCCTCCGGGTCTCACCCAGAAAAATGGCGCTTCATTACATTAAACGCTTGGTTTTTTTAGGACTCTATAAAGTGAATAGTACCAAATTTTACTATCTAATTGCCATTTACATAAACATGTGTACAATGGTGCTCACAGTCACAAAAAGTACCACCTAACCAGGAGGGTCGGATTATACTTACCTCAGTGCACATCTGAGGTTCCACGCAGGTAAACACCTTCTGTTGTAGTTCTAACATGTCATACAGCAGCTTCCTCCAGTCCTCATCACAAAGTCTGGGCTCTCTGCAATCATATTAAGTCTTGTGAATTGCAGTTGATGAATCCAGTCTTTTAATCATCACATTATATATTTCAATATCATGTATGCTGGCATCCATGAACAATGTGATAAGTAACGAACACTTTCAATATTTTAAAACCAAACAATATAATACAGAATACCTATTCTATTGGCTGAGTTCTTAATAAAAGAAAATTTATTCATGCTAAGCAGTACCACATTTTGTCACTTTTTCATACTTTTCATGAAATACAAAACAAAATCATTCTTATAATTTAAAAAGAATGTTAATAAACATTACCAAAAAATATACTTGCATCAATTTTCATAAGAGAGCTGAAGCTATCCTCATGGAATTGAGCAAACCCTTACATGCTGTTTCTGCCACAATCAAGTAAATTCTGTATCAATGTAGCTTGTCTCATGTACACCTATACCCACCTGCCAGTGGGTATATAATCAATCAAAATCAAAATGTTTATTCAGGTAAAAGTACATACATAGAAAATGAGTTTTACAAACATAATGTTGGATTTATAGATAAGAGCTAGTACATACAATACCTAAAGCCACTAATACGCACAGCGTTTCGGGAAAGGTCTGACCTTGACCATATATACTGACCTCTGTATATCAGCAACTTCTCAATTCAAGTTCAAGTATGTTTATTGAGACAAGCAAGAAACGCATCTCAAAGGGATAGAGTAGCTTAGGCTATCTCTACCCCCCCTGAGCAGCAACTTCTCTGTGTGAATGTACTCATATGTATCTAAGTATTCTAGCTCAGCATCATCCTTTGCATTTCTACTTTCATCTCGCTTCACTTTTTATCCGTCCCGCTCCACCTCATCGCCAACCTGCTCCACCTCTTCCTCGCCCTACTCCACCTCTTTCCTGTTTGCCCCACTCCACCTCTACCCCACCTCTCCCCCTGCCCCATTCAACCCCCCCTTCCCCTTGCTCCATTCCATCTATACCCCCCTGCCCTGACCAATTACACCTCTGCTGCCCTGCTCTACCTCACCTCTCTACCACCACACCTCACTCACTCCGTCTTCATATGTTTCTAGCTTCTTTTCATCGTTTTTTATTCTCATTTCTTTTTCTCATTCCTCTTTATTCATCTCCCAATCCTGCTGTAACAGTTTTCTATTCTGCCTCTATCTTTATCCTCTTCCTCTAATCTTTGTATTCCTAATCATAAATTTGTGAACTTTACTTACTATTCCTCTTCTTCTAATTCTCTCTCTCTCATTCTCATTCTCTCTCTCTCTCATTCTCTCTCTCTCTCTCTCATTCTCTCTCTCTCTCTCTCTCTCTCTCTCTCTCTCTCTCTCTCTCTCTCTCTTTCTCTCTCTCTCTCTCTCTCTCATTCTCTCTCTCTCTCTCTCATTCTCTCTCTCTCTCTCTCATTCTCTCTCTCTCTCTCTCTCTCTCTCTCTCTCTCTCTATCTCTCTCATTCTCTCTCTCTCTATCTCTCTCTCTCTCTTTCTCTCTCTCTCTCTTGTTCTCAGAATCATCTCTCTCATGAGATCTCTCATCATCACAGGTCATCTCTCTACATCATCTCTCTCTCATTTCTCATCTCAAACTCATCTCAGGTCATGAGATCTCTCTCATCTCTCTCATGAGATCTCTCTACATCATCTCTCTCTCTCTCTCTCTCTCTCTCTCTCTCTCTCTCTCTCTCTCTCTCTCTCTCTCTCTCTCTCTCTCTCTCTCTCTCTCTCTCTCTCTCTCTCTCTCTGTCTCTCTCTCTCTCTCTCTCTCTCTCTCTCTCTCTCTCTGTCTCTCTCTCTCTCTCTCTCTCTCTCTCTCTCTCTCTCTCTCTCTCTCTCTCTCTCTCTCTCTCTCTCTCTCTCTCTCTCTCTCTCTCTCTCTCTCTCTCTGTCTCTCTCTCTGTCTCTCTCTCTCTGTCTCTCTCTCTGTCTCTCTCTCTGTCTCTCTCTCTGTCTCTCTCTCTGTCTCTCTCTCTGTCTCTCTCTCTGTCTCTCTCTCTGTCTCTCTCTCTGTCTCTCTCTCTGTCTCTCTCTGTCTCTCTCTCTATTTTATTGTTGAAAAACTCAGAATCATCACAGGTCATGAGATCAAACTACACATACCTGCAGAAATACTGGAATCCCATCCTGGAAAAACAAATTGAAGTAAACATTCTAATTTACCTTACACAACATTCATGGTTTCTAGGTAATCTTTTACCTTCTTGCAGCTGCCCTTGTCAGCTTGGTTAGTATTTCTCGAACTTTTTCGGGGTGGGACTGCAACTGGCGGAGTTGACAAGGCGTGACATTGACACCATTGTTGCCGAGTAGCTCTGCTGCTGTGAGGTGAGCATCTAGTGAGTCTGCCAGATCATGCAGCTTTGTCAAGGTCTCCATGTTCTCTGGGCTACAAAAAAATTAAAAAAACCAGCGTTGAATGTAATGAAACACCATTTTCTAGGCGACTCCCGGAGGCTCCCCGGAGCTATCCAGGCTGATATGGATACCCTAACTATTTTGCATCAATGTGGGTGGAGTTCTAGGCCTACCGGGGACCACAAGCCAGAACCTGGCCCCTCACAGAGGCACGGGGAGCAATGGCCCATTGAAATGAACATGTGATTTTGAGCATTCTATATCTGCCACTGACCGGGACAGGAACACAGAAAGGCAAGCGCCACAAAACAAATCCCTATTCTGGTTAAAATAACGAAAATTGCCAACGAGTGGACAGAACTCCCCAAAAGAAAAACGAGCAAACAAGTATTCTCAGGTACTCAGGCTGCATGTGCTTAGGGTCACTTTCTCTGAGTGCCCTGTAAGTACCGCCCTTGGGGCTTGAGGTTCTCTTCCACGAGTCACCTTGGGTCTACCTCTGTTGGCCTTTCGCTGCTTGGCGATTGGCCGCCCTGAGTGTGTGGGGGTTTTCCTCCCTTGTTTGCCTTGGAATATGTGGTAGTTATTGCTCTTGTGGGGCGCCGGGTACTGCGTAGCTAGTTTTCACCTATAACAGCGGCTGGCTCTGTTCTTTCTGTTAAAATTTTAATGTTCAACATTAAAATTCTAACTGATAGAAAAATGAGGGCAGTAATCAGAGGCAATGTATCGGACTGGAGAAATGTCACAAGTGGAGTACCACTGTAACACGGGGGTGGGAGGGGGTTACTGAATTCTGTAAAATAATTCATTATACGAAACTGTGAACAAAGGCGCCAGTTATCTTCACCGCCAATCCCCCAGGGGATGCGACCTTGCTGGGTCAGGTCCCTACATGTGGTTTCTAGAACCTTCTGGATCATATCTACAACAGTTAGTTTGTTACACCACAGGGTTCAGTTCTAGCACCAGTGATGTTTATTGTCTAACATAAATGATCTACCAGTTGGTATACAGAATTACAGTATATGAACATGATTGCTGATGATGCTAAGATAATAGGAAGGATAAGAAACTTAGATGATTGTCATGCCCTTCAAGAAGACCTGGACAAAATAAGTATATGGAGCACCACTTGGCAAATGGAATTTAATGTTAATAAATGCCATGTTATGGAATGTGGAATAGGAGAACATAGACTCCACGCAACCTATATATTATCTGAGAAATCTTTAAAGAATTCTGATAAAGAAAGAAATCTAGGGGTGGTTCTAGATACAAAACTATCACCTGAGGACCACATAAAGAACGTTGTGCGAGGAGCCTATGCCACGCTTTCTAACTTCAGTATTGCTTTTAAATACATGGATGGCGATATACTAAAGAAATTGTTCACAACTTTTGTTAGGCCAAAGCTAGAATATGCAGCGGTTGTGTGGTGCCCATATCTTAAGAAGCACATCAACAAACTGGAAAAGGTGCAATGAATTATTATGTCCAGAGGCATTAAATGTGCCAAAACTAGAAGACAGAAGAAAAAGAGGTGATATGAGCACTACGTACAAAATAGTAACTGGAATTGATAAAATCGATCGGGAAGATTTCCTGAAACTTGGAACTTCAAGAACAAGAGGTCATAGATTTAAACTAGCTAAACACAGATGCCGAAAAAATATAAGAAAATTCACTTTCGCAAACAGAGTGGTAGACGGTTGGAACAAGTTAGGTGAGAAGGTGGTGGAGGCCAAGACCGTCAGTAGTTTCAAAGCGTTATATGACAAAGAGTGTTGGGAAGACGGGACACCATGAGCGTAGCTCTCATCCTGTAACTACACTTAGGTAATTACACACACACACACACACACGCATACACATATACAGGTAAGAGTTAATATTTGAAAACCCTCGAGATATTGACATAATGGCATTGCAGGTCTGGAATCAGGATGATAAGCTGATAATGTTAAAAGCCTACAGCCCACCAGCAAGCAACACTTGGACAAAGGAAGAACTGGATGACAAACAAGAGGGCCTCATAATGGTCATGAGAGAGATTATTGTACAAGCTGATAAAGATAAATCACGACTGTTGATACTAGGGGACTTCAACTTTAAAGCAATAGACTGGGAGGCCCATGAAGCAAAAACAGAGGACTTTTGGACATGTAGATTTGTGAACCTCATTCTGGAGACATTCTTGTATCAACACATCAAGCAGGCCACTTGAAGTGAAGAGCAGAGGTGCCATAGGCACAATGAGAAAACACTCTATAAACATCAGAGGTCCGCGGTTGTTCAACGTCCTCCCAGCAAGCCTAAGAAATATTGCCGGAACAACCGTGGACATCTTCAAGAGGAAACTAGATTTATTCCTCCAAGGAGTGTCAGACCAACCGGGCTGTGGTGGGTATGTGAGCCTGCGGGCCGCTCCAAGCAACAGCCTAGTGGACCAAACTCTCACAAGTTAAGCTTGGCCTCGGGCCGGGCTTGGGGAGTAGAAGAACTCCCAGAACCCCATCAACCAGGTATCAACCAGGCCACAAGAATGAGGGAAGGAGATGTACCGTCAGTATTGGATCTAGTATTCACCAAGAAATAAGAAGAGATATTTGACATCCAGTACCTTCCTCCCTTGGGAAAGAGTGATCACGTCCTTTTTAGACATTAATTAAATATGCTTTAAGATATCATCTAGAAGAAAATGGGGACATTGAAACAGTTGATAAACTCGATTTCAAGACAGGTCACTATGGGGAACTTTGAAAAAATTTTAATGAGTGTAATTGGACAGACTTGCTGCTAGGCAGGGAAGTAAATTAAATGCATGCCAAATTTTGCAAAATATACAATGAAGGCACACAAACATTCATACCAAAACAGAGATGCAGGGCTAGAAAAGAGGATTGGTTCAACAGAGGGCCAGAGATCAAAAGACACAAAAATGGAATCAATATAGGAAGAGGCCAAACCCCCAAACATACCAGTGATACAAAGATGTGAGAGACAACTATACAGCAGTAAGGAGAGAGGCAGAAAGAAAGTTTTTAAAAGGGATAGCAGATATATGTAAAACAGAACCAAGCCTATTCTACATTTTGGCACCAAATAATGAGACATCTGCGCCTACAAAAGCCAATACATCTTACAAAAATTAATACTGTATATCAATAATTCTTTCAATATTATTAAAATACCAGTTTGCTCTATTGTACCTACATAGAGTACTTAATATGCTTTATAATACTTACCAAGACTCTCTTTCTGGAAGACATTCAAGGATAGCAAAAGCTCGTGGAAGCTGATTCTCTTTCTCACAAGCATACACACAGTCAATAGCAATGGTCATCATCTCTTCTGCAGATGTGATGATCCTAGCGTGTTGATCAGGTCGGGAATGCTGCAAAATTATTTTTACATCTTTCACAGGTGACAATATAGAGTACAGTACTAAACTAAAAAATAATATGAGCATAATACAATAATTTCAATACAAAATATTAAAACTAGGAGGAAAAGAACCCAAAGCCTCATATAAATATCTTAATGGAATTTCAGAGAGTGCATTTCCCTTCATGGACATCTCAGGACATCCATGAAGGAAATCCCAGCCTGCGATATATTAATGTTGTGATTCAAATCCCAGAATATTATTTATAATTTACTAAGTTGCCATAGTGAATACTACTGCATTTATTAAAACTAACAAACATATTGGTGAATAATAACTGATTAAATTAAATAAATAAAATTTCCTGCTACATGGTCGCAAGGGCAGATAGGAGGGAGATGTCATAAGAGCTCATGGATCAACAAGACTGCCACAACACCCTGGCTGCTGTGCTTCACATGTTCTCAAGTGTTTTTCTAAAATTTCAGGAACTGTTAGCTTTAGTTCTTTCAGAATTAACCAGTAAAGTTTCAAAGACTTATTTATGAGCACCATAAGGTGCTGTAATCATTAACAGTGCTGTAAATTGCACCAGCTGAGCTGGATGCCACATGTACCAGCCCAACAACTACAAAATACTGTGCTCATTCCTCCATGACGAACATAGGGTCGGCTAAAGAAGTCGACCTGGCACCTGGGAACCTGTTACCAAGCATAGTTGTGACATTTTGTTAAAATTACGTCAATTTATCTACCCATGGCATTAACGGTTTCCCTTAGGTCTCGGTTAAGCAGTGGGGGTCTTAACCCCAAAAAAGTAAGTTATAGACCCTTTGAATAATTTATTGTTGTGATATTAAATTGGATTGCAACTATATAGAAATGTTCACACTAAATGATATTTATGATTATAGAAAATTCCAATCATTAGACTAGGCCATAATTGCTAATGGTTGTAGATTGGACAACGTGCACCAAAATGAATCAATGTCCTTGCTGTAATAATTTAATTGTTTAAATTATAACGAACGTGGAACTCCGCAGTAATCTCCAAAAATAGCGACTTGGTAATGCAAACATTGACTTTTTTTCCCAAACAACTAAACAGCATGAGGGAGCCTACACTGGCAAAATTGGCTATGTTTTTGCATTTCATTTGTTTACAATAGATTTCAAGAGTAATGATTGTAGCATGTTTTTAATGATCTGAGTAGTTCTGCAGTTGTTTTAAATTAATAATTGTTCATTCAAACATTTTCTCAGATATTTATTTAATTTACATACTGTTTTAAGAATTAACTCGGGGAATTAAGTTGAGTAGTAAATTCCACATAGTATAAAACCTCCATTCAGAGCTGGTCCCTAGGATTTCCCTGAGCACTTGTCACTATGATCCACACATTCTTGCACACATTATGCTCTCCTTGACCTAGCCCCAACCATGACAAGGATCTTTGTAAATTTCTTTGTCAATGAAATTTGGGAAAGTAAATAGATTATTGTGCTCCAGCTTTTTAAGGCTCATCTATATACAATATGCGCCTTTACAAACGGGTAATTTCATACTGACCCATTTTATCTCTCATAAATTTAAAGGTTTGATATCAAAGCTGATTGTTGCTTTCCCTAAATTTTTAATATAAGCAGAATTAATAATTTTCTTTTATACAGAACTGAAGTAAACAATTTCAGCTATACAGTACTGTGACAATGAAGAAGACATTCTAGAACTCAAGTTGCACACAGCCCAAGTTAAAATTTATAGTCCTTACTTGCAGTATTTTTAAGGGCAGACCAAGGCCTTGCTTCGCTGCATTTACAATATAGGTATACAGGAGTGACCGACCACTGCCTGGCTGCCACTTCTCACAACGAGCCAGGAACGGCAGCAGCCACCGACGAATGTTTTGGATGTAGGTTTCATGAGTGCTCTGTTGGTTGACATGTAGCAAAGAAAATAATTTTTTTGTCATCTAATGTGAAGTTTTAATTTGTAACCAAACCTTACACTGTATTGACCAAAATAAAATCAGCACAATCTTTATGGTACAGAATGTCTACATATTCAGGCAGAAACATACTTAACAAGATCTCGAAACCAGGAAAATTAATGATTTACAAGAAAATTTGGCACTAATGGTAAAATAGAATGGATTTAAACTAACTGTTGACATGAGTTGCACAATTTTCTCATTATCTGAGAGCTTGGAGTATTTATCAAGAGTCATTGAGGTGTGGCCGACCTCATACACTAGAACTTCTAGAGTATCAAGTGTGTCATGTAGTTCCTCCAGATCCTGAAATAATCAAATTAACAAACATTATTAGAATTAACACTAAATTGCAATTAAATAGTGTATAATGCTAAGTCTAAAAGATCAGCTGTAGCATAATATATACGCAAATTAGAAAGAGTACCAACTTCTCTCAAAAATTTATGCTTCTTTTTAAGTCTTTTATATCATTTAATAAATTTAATGTTTTAAAGAGAAGAAAATGGTCTTCAATAAATCAACAAAGTATTAGCAAAGTTTATGTCCTAGAAAAGCTGCAGTTCTATTAATCAACAAAAAATTAATAAAGCACAAGTCACAAAACTTAGACATGTAAAAGTAAATATGCCTTGTAGTCCAAAATGCTTCACTTATTTGACAATACAACCACAACAAACTGACTACACATTGCTAACATCTCTCAAGAGCACAACCTCTTACCTCAACACCTCTCTCACGCCCAAGCTTGAGAAGGTCCAGAGCAGCATCCACAAAGTGGCTGCACCTTTCAATCTCTCGTGCACGTTCCTGGTACCACTCACTAACAATCTCTGCCGTCACATTCACCCCTCTAAACTTTTTCATCTTGGGTTGCTCGGCATACAAGAAATCGGCTGGATCTGCTTCTCCCTCATTTACTGCTTCTCTATTTGATAAAATAAAATACTGTATATAATAACCAACCAAGAACTTGTCATAAAATATTTAGCTAGATAAACTAAGCATCAAGGCGTGATCTAAGGTGTTAGGATAAATATCAAGAGGAAGGAGGAACAAGTGTGCAGGAGAATATGACACAACTACACAAGTAACAGGCAGTAGTGCAAACTTTCTCTAATGTGCATGAAATATTCGGTATCTAAATAGACTGTCAAATTGAAAAGGAAATCAATTAAAAAACCAGCGTTGAATGTAATATAACACCATTTTCTGGGCGAGACCCGGAGACTCCCTGGAGCTTATCCAGGCTGATATTACTAATGTCAGACTTTGGCATCAGTCTTGTGTATGGAGTTTTGTGGGCCTCCCGGAGACCACGAGCCAGAACCTGGCCCCTCAGAGAGGCAAGGGGAGCAATGGCCTATAGAAACCCCCATGTGGTTGGAAGCATTCTATGCCTGCCATCGACCAGGTCAGGCACCCAGAAAGGTAAGCGTCCCAAAACAAACCCCTATTCTGGTGAAAATTGCAACCACAAACCGAACAGGTGGATAGAATTCCCCTAAAAAAACAAGCAAACGATCGTGACGACACACGTCGCTGCGCCGCTGTCTGCACAGTTCCCCCTTCTCCGGGAGAGGGGAGGGGAAGCCCCAGACCTACTGAGCCGGTGTTATTATCTCAGCCTACAGGAAAAACGAGTCTCCCCCTTGAGAGTTATTCAACAAGCCTGACCTAACTAGAAAGTATAGGAAATATAGAGGCGATAACACAGATGTAAAATAGTTTGTTGGATTCAATGAACAGTTTAAGATTATGGGCAGTAAATACTGTAAGGAAATAGATAAATGACTGGTTTGGAGATGTGGATATTTTGCTGGAGGCGTGAGGCTCGCTTCTGGAGGGCTTTGACCTCACTTGAGGCCAGACATCGCAGGGGGAAAGCCGCGCTCCGTTGAGCTCCCGTCAGAAAGGAACCCCTAGTGATATATCTCGAAGAGAAGAGAAGTGTGCAGACGTACCAGCTGTGGAATCGAGCTGGGGACCTGTAGTCTCAAGTCCTGGGCGACGAGGAGTATTTATTAAACCGCCCAGAGGCATTATTGTGGGCCGTGGAAGCGCCCTGACCAAGCTCTGTCAGAGGGATAGCGCCCTCGACTAGACAATCTGTGGTAAGCACGATTTAAGCCAGTTCATAGTGATTGTTTGTAGTTGGTTGTGTGCCCAGCGACAGTAGCGATGTTTATTTATAAGCTAGACATGTTTTGATAAGGCAGAAAGCCTAAAATAAGAGAGTGGAGAGGGAGGAACACGGAGCGACGTCCGTCCCCTCTGAGCGCTGGCAGGTGACTGAGAGCTCCCGACGGCGGAGGCCCCTCCCGGAGTGAGTGAGGCCCGCCGGGCGAGGTGGAGCATGGACCCGCCCAACGGGGGAGTCCACTCTCACATTATGTAGAGGATAGATAGAGGTTGGAGGCAAACATATTGTGTGATTATTTTTGTTTATGTGTTAAAGGGGAAAGATTTTTATTGGAGTGTCGATGAGTTGCATTTTTGTCTTTGAAGAAGAAGTTGCTGAGAACTTCGAAGCCAGCACGGAGGGAGTAGTTGATGAGACTCCAAGGTAGTGGAGCAAAGGACCTCGAGCTGTGAGGAGAAGCAGTGAAGAGGAGTGTCACGTGCTTCTGTAGAGGTGGTGAAGCACCATAGTGCTCGAGGGAACTTCATGGTGTAGCAGCCAGGAGAGCTGTAGAGGACCCTAGCAGAAGGGTGAAGCACCGTAGTTGCTCAAGGAAACTTCATGGTAGCAGCCTGGAGAAGCTGCAGAGGATCCTGGTAGTTAAGCCTGGAAGAACCTGAAGATATCAGGGTAGTGAACTTCCAGAGGTGGAGGGGAAGTTCTGGTGGATTACTTGTAGGGAGTTGACAGTATTTGGTTGTCATTAGCGTGCAAGACGCAGTGAGAGGTGAGTGATTGTTTGCATTCTTATGTCAAGGAGTGTTTTATACTGAAGTTTAGAGTTACAGTCGTAGGCTGGATTACCTACAGATGTATGTGTTCTAGGACTGATAGAGTGATCGATTGATCATTGTTGTGTATCAAGGAACATTGATACTGATATATGTTATTGCATTCACATGCTGATTTTCTTTGTACACATTTATAGATACATATATATATTCTCTTGCTGATGGTGTAACAGTGTATGTAGACTTGATCAACTTGAAAAGGTTGATAGTATCAGGTGGTGAACCAGGAGATAGGATACCACTTGATAAGCTGATGATAGAGTTCTGATGGTGTTGGAGTGCAACCTGATTGTAATAGTATAGAGTATAGGATTCATTATTATTATATGTATGTGTGTGTATGTATTGTGTATGTGCTTTGTCCAGTAAATGTATTCCAATTTGCTGGTGTTTGCCCTTGTCCTAGTGAGGCTTCCCAGGAAATAGTAAAGGAAGAGAGAGAGAGAGAGAGAGAAAGAACCAAGAACCACTGCTGTGGACAGGGTAGGACGGAAAACCAATAAGTCAAAGGGGATTGAGGAGATCATATCACCTAAGGAGAGAGTGGGGAGTCACAGCGGCTCGAGTGGGTGTGTGCACGTGACAACGAGGCTGAGTGTTGGAGCCACATCCCGTAATGTGATCTCCTAGTGAAGTATAAGCACTCTACCGAGTTGTGGGTTGGGTTGTCCGTAAAGGAGGAACACGACGACAACACCAACCAACACAAACTATAATAGCCGGCTATCCACCATCAGTTCTGGGGCTGGATGTTAAAAACACGAAAAAACGCTGACCGGAGGGAGGGAGGGATGCCGGGGAGCCTCCGGGTCTCACCCAGAAAATAGCGTTTCATTACATTCAACGCTGGTTTTCTGTGGGGAGCCCCTTTGGCTCCCCAGAGCTAACTACGCACAGAGGAAAAAAGAGGGATGTACCCAGGAGGCGGTCTCCACACACTCCCCAACTCAAAGTCAAGACAACTGGCTGTGACTGCCAACCTAAGGTGACACAGGCAGAATGGGCCCGGGAACGACACGAGACATCGAGCAGCCAGGCCCCTGTACAACCACCAAAAGTCCCGTGCCCGAATATCAGCTAGTACATGCCGCCAAGACACCAGCAAGAGCAGCGAATCCACGAATGCCACGGGCACAGGGAAGGAACACAGGCTGGCTAGCCGCAATAACACGATGGACGACCTGGGAGACCTTCACCCGCTAACAGGGAAGAACAGAACCGGATCAACCCAAAGCGCGTCCCGGACACAAAAGCCGTGGCGGGCAAATAACAGCAGACGGCCGCAACCGAACCCAAAACACGACACACCCCCTGGCCCAACCAACCAAGCACCAACAAACCAAGGACCCATCCAGAAAGCAGCAGCCTCATCCCGTGTCAGAAAAGAGGGAGACAGCTACAACCGAATAAACCAATTGACACGACCGAAAGAGCAGAAACCCCTGCGCCGGAGGAGAGCAAGAAGCTCAGCGACTCAACCCCAAGAGGCAAATGCCAACAGGAAAAGAGCCTTCGAGAAACAAACCCGAACCGAAGGGGTCACAATCAATCGAGGAGAAGAAAGAGCACGCAGTCCAGAGACCAGGACGGCTCAAGCGACGCAAGAGTAGGCCGGAGGTGAAACAACGCATGAGACAGCTTACGAATGGTGCAGATGTAACACCAAGACTGAAAGCAAGCTGAAGCGGCTCCGCCAGTGCCACACAAAATGAGGCGACAGTAAGCGGCAAGATGACGGCCCCAAAACCCCCACCAGAAAAGCCTAGCTGACACCAACAACGCAGCTACCGATGAAGGGACAGAAGGAAAAGGAAGGACCGCCAAAATACCCCATACTGCCGACAACAAGAAGTACGCAGGTGGGACACCAACAACGAATCCACCTGACCACCAACCAAAGGTAAGAGACTCGAGGTAAAACCTAACTGGTCCCGTCAAGGTTCATCCAAAGCTAGGAAGAGGCGGAGCCGTGGGAAGGTCTCGGGCACGACCACCAAGACCTTCCCGGAAAACCAAGCAGGCAAGGAAGGAGATGGAACGTTTGCTAAACAGAAAAACTCCCCAACGCGAGCTAGCTCGCCAGGAGATCGGAAACTACAGGTCCAACGCGAGACCCCAGAGAAGGAACACAGCGAGACCCTGAAAATGCCAACAGGCAGGGCAAGCCAGGAAAACAGGAACCCAAACCTGGCAACAGGAAGGCCAAAAGGCACAAACAAAACACACAACAGTGTGTAGGAGAAAACGAGAAAAAGACCAGAAGAACAGCCCCAGCACGAACAACAGGGACAAGTGAAGCAGGAAGATGAGGAATGAAGAAGGCATGCAGCAAAACGGGAACGAAAGGGACAAGACTAACCCACAGAGTAGCAGAGTCCCAACAATCCAAACTGAAGAAGGTGCAAAGGGTTGCCACCAGACCAGTACCCATACCAAGGGGTACGAGCAACGAAGACAGACCAAAGCACACAAGTGCACACGCACCGTGCGACACAGGCGGAAGGAGTGCTCAAAGAAACTAAAGGAACGCAAGAAGAAAACATTCCAGCAGTAGAGTAGTAAACAAATGGAATGCACAAGGAAGGGAATTCGTGGAAGCTGACCCCACACACAGCTGCAAGTGCAGACATGACAGAGCCCAGGAGATGTCACGAAAGCGACAGGGAAGAGGCAGGACGAAAGAGCCTAAGCTCAACCCCAGGAATCACAACCAGGGGCGGACAACCAGCCGAGGACCAAGAAACCAATACATGGAAGGGCCGAGGCAGGACAAAAGAGCCTAAGCTCAACCCCAGGAATCACAACCAGGGCCGGACAACCAGCCGAGGACCGAGAAACCAATACATGGAAGGGCCAAGCAAGGCACTCTTAAGACAGGAAAGGAAAGAGGGACCCCAGAGAAGACCACGAAAAACGCCACAAGCAATCCCCAACACGCAACCCCAGGCACGAAAC